CGGTCCGGGCTCGGCCGTAGGGCCCCGGGATCTGCCCACGCCGCGGCGATGTGGGGAGGATGTTCTGCCACTCCGTGGGCCGGGCGGCTCGCTGCCCTCGCCCGGCGGGGCCCGCGCTCCGCAGAGCCTGCGCCTTCCTACAGCCCCGGCATCCCGGATCCTGGGACCGGGCTGGCGCCCGGGACGCGCTCCCGGCTTACCCGGGCCTGTCGTGGGCTGCGGAGGGAGGGAAGCACCGGCTCTGGTGCCGCGTACCGTAAGGAGAAGACCCCGATTCTCAGGCCATGGCAAGAATCTGCCGTGATGGCCTGTACGGATTCCTCCCGGTTTCGCGCGTGAAGCGGCGCAGGGGATCCAGGAGTGCCGTGGTGTGGGGTTCGGTACACAACCGCGTACAGCCGCTGCGCTCCAGGGGGGTAAACAAACCACGCGGCAGTGAAATCCCTGAGATGCGCCAGTTCCCCTTGTTCACAAGAGAGCAGAAGCTCTGGGTTACTTCCCCGGCCACCAAAGGTCAAGGGGTTTCTCAACGCCACCTCAAATCAGCCCTTGTGCATCTCCTCTGGTGCTCCTTCCCTGGAGGAACAGGATGCTAACGCTGTTGGGAACAAAACCTCGCCCAGGCCCGTCGCTGTTTGCCCATCTCCCTTGTCTGCGTGGCTATTTCGTTCACCAAGGGAGAGGGACGTAGAAGGAAAAGACCCAGCATGATAGACGGGTGTGAAACAAGAAGTTCCCTGGAGAGCACACGTTGTCTTCCTCAAAAGCACATGGAGGGAAAGGGAAAGATGGGACAGTTGTCGTGTCCTTATGTCGCTCCTTGTAGATGCGTTATCATCTTCTAAAGTAACTGTGTTAGGTTCAGAGCTTCCAGATTTCCCTGGAGGAGTTCCTTTAGCACTAGTTCTGCAAGTATCTACTTACAGCAGTGGAATGAATCATTTAAAAACTGATGATATGCCAAATTCCAGGTAAACTGGATTTCTTATTAATGCTTCCAGGGGAAAACACCTACAAGTTGTCAGGAAGATTAGATCTGCTGTGATAAAAAGAATTACCTTTCTGTGTGACCTCTTTCTTCACCCAATTTGCATAGTCTCCTCTCATACAAAGTGGCTAGGAAGAATTCTAGGCAGAGAGGGGAACTATGAAACACGATTTCTGTGCCTGCTGTCTTCAGAGTGACAGCACAGCTGCTTCCCCCACAGCTATTTACAATTCTAATACGGAATTCTAAATAATTCTAGGGGGGAAAAAGTAGTCACCTTTGCTCTATTGGCCTTTCTGACAAGATTTTTCTGGCTCTTCTTGTTTTTAGAGAAAATTCAACCCCATTTACAAACAGGATTGGAGAGCCCGGTGCTGTTGGCAGTTCTGATGTCTCCTGCCCGTTCTCCAGCGCTGCCCAGGAGGCCGTTTGCCCCGAATGGTGCGGGGCAAGGCTAGGCTGGTGGAGGAGGTGCACGAGCTCGGGTTTCAGCTGATGCTGGAAGCTTCACGTTGCATTTTTAATTACTGGAGGCCAGCTAAGAGGAGACAGAGGCATGAAGTCACTGTTTACCAGCCTATTAAGGAGTCCCTTATTCAATGCAGAAACATAATGAATGCGTTACTAATGGCACCACGCTGTAACAACTGGTGTTCGCAGTGAATCCAGATGTCCTCCCGTGCTAGGACCGTGCCGTGTCATTATTACACACCTACAAATTCTTGAGAATGTTTCGGGGTTTTTTTACTGTCTAACTTGCCCTTGTTTATATTCTCCATCTTCTTAAATTAAATTGCTCTCTTTCAAGCACTAGGCAATTTAGATAAAAGTGGCAGGATCAGGTATGGTGGCAACGCGGAACTGTATTTTCTACAGTTTCTGGGCTGTGAGTCTATGGAAACCTCACTTATGGCATTCCTCAGGTAGGAAATAAATAATGGAGGAGTAATTTCTCATGGGTGTATTCCTCCAGGCACGAGGACTTGTGTAGTCTATAAGTGAATAGATCAAAAAAAAATAGGAATAAAACATTAAATTTGTACAAAGCCCACATGTAGGCAGTAAATGACAATTAGATACTGTAAGTGTGCACTGGCGTTTATTCTAGCTGTAAGTCCAACATTTAAACTTAGGAAAAGTACCTATAGAATATCGAAAGAACCCGGCTATAGAGAAATGCTCTCCCGTTGCCTTTTTCTGTACTTCCACAAGGCAAAACAAAACTAAATCAGGTCCTGGAGGACAGCGAATGGAACTTGCTAGCTCTGGAGAAACAAACCTGTGCTTCTCCCAGTCATTCAGAACGACGGGCCCGAGAGACACGGGAGAGCAACACCACACACGCTTCAAAGGGCATTTAAGGAAATTAACAGGGAAAAGTAGGTTCAGAAATTTAAAGACGTAGCTTCAGTGGCTTCTGTTCAAGTGGAAGTATTAATTCTCTTTTCAGCTGGTGCTGAACCAGAGCACTTTAGAAATGTTTACATCTCCTTATTCAGAAGACAAACCCCCCAAACCCACCAGCTCGTTACTCGGTGTGCTCAGACTGCCCACAGGACTGGCCTCTGCCAGCTCCCTCCTGTCCTCAGGGGTGAGGGCAGCGGGGCAAGGATCCGCGTCCGGGGAAGGACAGAACAACCTCCTCCAGAAACAGCCACAAAAGACTATTATGGGCTACGCAGGCAACCGTGACGTGGAACTGGAGGTAGAGGAGAAATTTTGTGCGGCAAGGAAATCATTCCACATTCCCCTTGTGTCAGCTTGACTATCCTGAACTTTGTCATAAAAATTATTAGAAAAAGAAAAGGAAATCTTTATGATACGGCCTGAGGTTCGCTGGGCACCCGGAACTTTGCTGCCCTGGCAGCAGGGTGGGTTCAAAGCAAAGCTTTCCCAGGGGGGATTTATGTAGACGTTTCCCTATGGGAAACAGAGTTGTCACTGCAGGATTAAACTCCTCCATCCTAAATTTCAGGTTTCCACTCTGTGCCAAGGCTGAAAAATGGACTTGAGACTAATCGGTGTGTTCCTTCTGTTACTGTAAAAGCCGTCAGAGGAACTCTGAGACGCGTTGTGGAGCCTCAGAAAGCAGAAATCCTGCCGTGCACGGGGGATCACTCCACCTCACGTGCACACACTGAAATAAAAGTTCATCCTTTCTATACTTTAAAGACACAAAAATTCGTACACTTTCCAAGAAGTCTCCACCTTTCTGCCTATCTACTACATTTACATCCTGCTGGCATGGCGAAACTATACTACACATGCGCGGGGGTCTTGGGGGGTTATTTGGGGAGTTACCCTCTACTCCTTTTTCCCTTTTATGGTCACCAATCTTTTGAGGACAATTTCATCTCCTTGGATGTTTCCCAGCTCTGTTGTCTGGCCGAGATGATCTTTCTTATCCGCCGCCTTTGAGCATCTCAGCCAGGATGTATCTGTGGTCAAAGTGAGGGTGTCTTCTCTTTAATCACTCAGGCCTTGCTAATCACTCTGGCCTTGTTAAATACAAAGGCAAACATTGTTTGGTGAAAGAATTTCTTAATATTTCCCCCTGTGAGACTTCCAGATCTACACAACGGGGTCCAACGTGACCATATACAGTATAACGGCACTCATCTTCTATCACTAACTGTTTCAGGCCTCAGCTTGCAGGCATCAGCTCGCGGGCATCGCTTCCCCTTAGGCCCAGCTTGGCTCTACACTGACCTGCGGGTGGGATGAAAATTATTTCAGATCCGGCCCAAGGGGTGCGGGGGGCGGCTGCGAGGCCTCCGGCGCACAGCTCCCGC